AAACAATCCACTGCCTTGTGGCATCTATACGATGAAAAGGCTTCTGGAGTCCCTGAGGCAGTTCATTATCGCTTGCGACCTCATTCTAACAACTTTTGCGACGACACGGGTGCCAAACTGTCTCTGTATGTGCCGTTTCTTTGGATCCATCAGCTAGGTGGAGAGAAGGAGCCTGCTGCATGGGAAACAGCTTGCTCCTCACATTCTTTCGCCCGGGCACTGACTCTACCTATTCGGGAGTGGATAGAAACAATAACACAATAAACATAGTCGACATTGACTGATGGTGACCTTCGATATATATGTGTGTGTGTGTGTGTGTGTGTGTGTGTGTGTGTGTGTGTGTGTGTGTGTGTGTGTGTGTGTGTGTGTGCGTGTGTGTGTGTGTGTGTGTATGTAAGTATGTACGTATGCATGTATACAGATATACATAATGTGTGTATGATGCTCCTAATGCAAAATGCAGCACCAATCCTCGCGTTCCCGAAACAGCACTTCCTGTTCGGTCAGCTGATGTTCTCCAAACAACCGCTTCTGCTCTTGTAAACATAATTAGGAGATTGTTGTTTTCATTTCCTATCAACACCATTAACCTCGTGATGATTTTACGATGACGTCATCCATTAATAACTTCGGTGGCTTCGGAGTTATCATTTTATCGTTACGGAAGAATGTTGCATGATTTGTTGCAATTGACTCATGTTCAATTCTTCGTAATTTGAGGGTCCGATGATAATGATGATGATGGTATTGACGGTGATGTTGATGATTGATGATGATGATGATAATAATGGCAATGCTGATGCTAATGATAAATGATAATGATAATAATGATGATGGTGATGATGATGATGATGATGATGATGATGATGATGATGATGATGATGATGATGATGATGATGATGATGATGATGATGATGATGATGATGATGATGATGATGATGATGATGATGATGATGATGATGATGATGATGATGATGATGATGATGATGATGATGATGATGATGATGATGATGATGATGATGATGATGATGATGATGATGATGATGATGATGATGATGATGATGATGATGATGATGATGATGATGATGATGATGATGATGATGATGATGATGATGATGATGATGATGATGATGATGATGATGATGATGATGATGATGATGATGATGATGATGATGATGATGATGATGATGATGATGATGATGATGATGATGATGATGATGATGATGATGATGATGATGATGATGATGATGATGATGATGATGATGATGATGATGATGATGATGATGATGATGATGATGATGATGATGATGATGATGATGATGATGATGATGATGATGATGATGATGATGATGATGATGATGATGATGATGATGATGATGATGATGATGATGATGATGATGATGATGATGATGATGATGATGATGATGATGATGATGATGATGATGATGATGATGATGATGATGATGATGATGATGATGATGATGATGATGATGATGATGATGATGATGATGATGATGATGATGATGATGATGATGATGATGATGATGATGATGATGATGATGATGATGATGATGATGATGATGATGATGATGATGATGATGATGATGATGATGATGATGATGATGATGATGATGATGATGATGATGATGATGATGATGATGATGATGATGATGATGATGATGATGATGATGATGATGATGATGATGATGATGATGATGATGATGATGATGATGATGATGATGATGATGATGATGATGATGATGATGATGATGATGATGATGATGATGATGATGATGATGATGATGATGATGATGATGATGATGATGATGATGATGATGATGATGATGATGATGATGATGATGATGATGATGATGATGATGATGATGATGATGATGATGATGATGATGATGATGATGATGATGATGATGATGATGATGATGATGATGATGATGATGATGATGATGATGATGATGATGATGATGATGATGATGATGATGATGATGATGATGATGATGATGATGATGATGATGATGATGATGATGATGATGATGATGATGATGATGATGATGATGATGATGATGATGATGATGATGATGATGATGATGATGATGATGATGATGATGATGATGATGATGATGATGATGATGATGATGATGATGATGATGATGATGATGATGATGATGATGATGATGATGATGATGATGATGATGATGATGATGATGATGATGATGATGATGATGATGATGATGATGATGATGATGATGATGATGATGATGATGATGATGATGATGATGATGATGATGATGATGATGATGATGATGATGATGATGATGATGATGATGATGATGATGATGATGATGATGATGATGATGATGATGATGATGATGATGATGATGATGATGATGATGATGATGATGATGATGATGATGATGATGATGATGATGATGATGATGATGATGATGATGATGATGATGATGATGATGATGATGATGATGATGATGATGATGATGATGATGATGATGATGATGATGATGATGATGATGATGATGATGATGATGATGATGATGATGATGATGATGATGATGATGATGATGATGATGATGATGATGATGATGATGATGATGATGATGATGATGATGATGATGATGATGATGATGATGATGATGATGATGATGATGATGATGATGATGATGATGATGATGATGATGATGATGATGATGATGATGATGATGATGATGATGATGATGATGATGATGATGATGATGATGATGATGATGATGATGATGATGATGATGATGATGATGATGATGATGATGATGATGATGATGATGATGATGATGATGATGATGATGATGATGATGATGATGATGATGATGATGATGATGATGATGATGATGATGATGATGATGATGATGATGATGATGATGATGATGATGATGATGATGATGATGATGATGATGATGATGATGATGATGATGATGATGATGATGATGATGATGATGATGATGATGATGATGATGATGATGATGATGATGATGATGATGATGATGATGATGATGTGTGTGTGTGTGTGTGTGTGTGATAAGACGACACCAAGAACTGAAATCGCGAGGCTGTAAGGTGTCGGATGTTGATTTTTTTCTATCATTCTGGAGTAACCTATGGGACTTTTCTGTTGATTAATGTTGTAAACACGACGCCAGTAGGGAAAGAAGAGTCATACCCTCGTGGTTTTCAGTAAGGAAGAAAACATAGAAACACACATACACGACAACTCACAATGAGTCATATACACACCTAACTTCACCAGGCATAAAGCTACCAATTACAGGACAGCCATATATACATCGGTGCCTAAATCACTTGCATATTTAGCCTATACACCCATTAGACATTATTCCGCACGGCCTTCACAGGGCTTTCCCGACCTTGAGACCTGATGCATCTGCCAAACTCTACACTTTGGACTATTCACTTCTTCTGCTAACTACGCCTGTCGCTTCACACTTTGGTATTGTTCGTGTTTTGTACAAGCCAGACGCACCTTCGTTTGTATTACGAAGCTGAGTCAAATGTATTACAGGGCGCATCGTATTTTTTGAAAACGGTTAGATACTATGAGTGGTGGTAGACTGGGAACCATGCCTTCCGATGTATAATTTTCAAGATATTGTTTGTTATTTTGCGCTATGTGTGGCATCTCATAAGTCATCTACGTGTGTTATCTTATTTTCATTGTTCTCTTTTACATCCCACATTCTGACAATATTGAGCAACGTATGAATCCTCGTTTTTACCTTACTATACACACGCACGTTCGTTAACCATCACTGATTTAACGTGATCTCTCCCCATCCTTTCAGCTTTCCTGGTCAAAATAAACAGTGTCAGACCTGCTGTCACCTTTGTCTGGTTCTCCTCGACATCCCATGGCACCCAGACCTTACTCTCCTTACTCGACATATCTTAAGTCCCAAGCTTCTGGTCTGCTGATGCCCAAGTCCTCTCCTTCAGTGCCACCCTCGTTACGTAACACATACCCAAGTCCTTCAGCTTCTACAGCTTGTTTGCCATAAAGTGCTTCATGCTTGTCTTGTTTTGCTACTGCTTTGTATTATGTTTTAAGTTTCGTGTGCCTTTTAGTAGTTGCGTTAATGTTTATGTGGAAGCACCTTTTGTGTTGATCTATACTACCACTTACCTACTGCCCTAACCATTAATTACCATACAGTGAAAATAACTGTTGAATTTTGCCTCGCCTCGCTTTGTATAATCAGCCGCCCACATATATTTAATATCAAATGGATATAATGGTAAAGAATGACTTTCATACTGTCAGGTGTTAGGATGAATATTCCCATCAGGTGTCTTTAGGAAACATCAACATTGTTTTAATGCAATATCAGCAAAGTCTACTTGCACAGATATGGCTAACCTAACCTAACTAAATTTATTGCATAAATCATAGCATAGCAATAATCAGTAAAGCACTTAATTGCAAAAAACATAATATTTGTTCACACAGATATATGTTTGATAATGTGAAAATGTATTACACAGATAGGAAAAAATACATATGAAATTATCGTATATTAAGGAAAAAATGTAAATGAGAAAAAGGAAACAGAGACTGGGACGGTCGGAGAGAGAGAGAAGTAGAGGTGGAGGGGTAGCGAGAAAAGTAGAAGAGGGAGACAAAGGAGGGGAAGAGTAAGAGAGATGGTAAGAAAATGAGACAACGGACCGGAGATGAGGAACAGAAGGAGAGAGAGAGGGGGGGGGAGTAAAAAGGAGACAAGAGAGAGAGAGGGAAACAGAAAGAACAAAGAAGAGAGAGCGACGTAGAGAGAAGAGGGAGAGAGTGAGTGAGAGAAGGCGAGAGCGAGAGATAGAAAGAAAGAGCGGGCGGGGGGAGGGGTGGCGCTTGGCATGGCTCTCCTGGCACCGTCCCCGCGTCGGCTGGGCGGGGCGGGGCGGTAGGCATCAGTGGCGGAGCCGTAGTGCCGGTGGAGGGTCGTGGCATCGGGTGCCATGCCCAAGAACGGCGCCTCCCGTGTCGCTTGGTCGTGGTGACTACGAAACAAGGTCGTTCTCAGTCGTCCCGAGGGCTTAGCCAGCCTCAGGTAGTCGCGGTGACCTGGCCTAACCCGAGTGGTTAGGGTCTTGGACTCTGTGGTCAGCCGCGTGACCTCCTGCGCGAACTCGGATGACCTAAAATGATTCTTCTTGATGTTTTCGAATTCTCTCTTCGGTCCTTGGCTAACTGAGCCTCAAATAGAGTGGACTGACTCTGAACTGAAGGCCCGTGCGGAGTGAAATGCACGCCTAGATATAAACGCAAGAGAAGACAAAGAGTTGAGAAGCAGGACTGAACTGGAGGCAAAGAAACCCCACGAGGTTTTTTTTATTAGGGAGAGAGAGAGAGAGAAGAGAGGAATAAAAGAGACAGAGATTAAGAGAGAGAAGGAACACATAGACGGGAAAAGAATAATAACAGACAAAAGGAAAAAGAGATAGAGAAAGAGAAAAAAAACTAAAAACACACATGTATTATGAACATGTAATCTCAAAATCCCTCGACTGTCGTCCAATTCGCGTGTACAATCTTCCAAAAGTGTCGAACTCGAATCAATAACCGAGTTTTGTGAATACGTTACATCCTGTGTCTGTCTGTAAGCGAGCGACCGCCACTTCGAAGTCTGCATCGACGAGAAATCGAACTTCAAGATTTCTCGAACTTGAAGGGTATATATATATTTTTTTTTTTGAACGACCGCTCGCGTCAGTAGTTTCATCCGTGAGTATATTGACTGGTTTGTTTGTTTTTATTATATTTTACCCCTTTCCATTGTCTTTATTTCATCCCGTTTCCCTTTTTTTTTGAGAGAAAAGATTTTCCTGATGATGTACATGTGTTATGGGCGGATGTATCCATACAGTTAACATTCATTTCATAAACGTAAACATGCTTAGACAAAGGACACCCATCCATATGTACATAAAGAAACACAGATTCTGAATTTATATTATACAGAATCGAATACAATGAAAATGTCTTCTTAGCCTGAAGAACAGAAATATCCTGGCTAAAATAATTAAGAATCATTTCACTAGATTTAGTTTCATTATCGTTACTGTTTTTGCTTATTGGTGTTTTTGTTCTCGTTGTTATAGAATCGGTATATACCATAATTTCCCTCATTATTGTAAACGTTCTTGTTTGCTTTTAATTTTTCATCAATGGTGAAAGTCAGTAAAGGGTTAAATATAAGTGGTATGACAGCATGAATCGCCAGTCTGGGGATAGGCATTTAACATGATATATGACAAACATGCTATAGTCATTGTAACAGTCACTGGTCAGAAACGTTCTTTTTACCCTTGTGTGTGTGTGTGTTTGTGTGTGTGTCTGTGTGTCTGTGTGTCTGTGTCTGTGTGTGTTTCGTTTCGCTGCCGAGACAGATTATCAGATTTTCACAATTACAGAAATTTAGAAAAAAATAAACAGTACAAGAAAAAAAAAGTTTATTCGTTTCCTTTTTTATTTATTTTTTCTCTATACATATTTGTCTAAATGTCCATGAACTCTCTCTCTCTCTCTCTCTCTCTCTCTCTCTCTCTCTCTCTCTCTCTCTCTCTCTCTCTCTCTCTCTCTCTCTCTCTCTTTCTGCCTTTATATACACATACATATACATATCTATCTATTTATTGATCTGTCTGTTTAGTTAGCTCCTTAACTTGAGATACTTACAAACACACACACACACACAAACACACACACACACACACACACACACACACACACATATACGTACAAATACACACATACAGGCACACGCACACATAAACACATTGATAATTGAATTAGCTAGTTAACGGATCTATAAGCTTTACACTAACTTCTTTATTTTTTTTTTTTTTTACTTAAAAATCAAATAATTCAAGAGATAAAATTATGCGCTTCAGTTAGTCAGTTGTTTATGATTTAGTAACGGATTCTTGGAAATTGATTAGAATTTTACTGTACACACGTAAACTTAGCCACGCCCCCTTATTTGTAAGATTTTTTTTTTATGTCTATCCAGTATCATTATTTTCAGTATTGTTTTATTATTTGTTTTATCATTATCATAAATATACAATACCAATACAACTATTACTAATCTCTTTATCGTTATGGTGGTATCAAAATACTCTTATCATCAACACCATCGTCATCATATTTACCGTTTGTGTTATTGTTATGTTATTATTGTTTTTGTTAAGATTGTTAGCTTTTAGTTTATTTAAATAACCTTAATTTGTTTGGAAACTTTTTAGCAGCATCTGAGACATTGATATAATTATTATTTGCATTATCATCATCATTATCAACATTATCGTTATCTTCATTATCATCATAATCGTTATCCTCATTATTATCATCAACAACAGCAGTATTATTATCATCAATATGATAATCACCATTAGTAGTCATATCATTAACAATGTCGTTAATAATTACTATTAATATGAGTTATATTCTTAATGTTGGTATTAGTGTCTACCACTGTCATTTGTTATTATTATCATCATATAATTTAACGGTTTTAGCTGGTTCTGTTAATTATTGTTATAATCATTATTGTAATTATCAATGATGTTGGTTTTTTGCAGTGTTCTTGCTTATTATCATTATCATTACTATCATGAATATTATTATTATCATTATCATCACTGTTGTTATTATTATTATTGTCATTATCATTATTGTCATCATTATCATTATTGTTAGTATTGTTTTATATTATTATTATCACCATCATTACTATGGTTATTATTATCCTCATTATCATTATCATTATTTTGATCTGTATTATTAGGATCATTATTATTGTTATTATGTTTATTATTACCATTAATGCTATCAGTTAGTATTACTTTCTTCTATAATGAATATCATCACTAATTATCATCATCGTTATAGCATCATTACATCACTGCAATGTGATAACTTCAATGATCATATCCTTAGTATATATTACTATTATCTTACCAAAATGACGATGTTAATTAGATCAATAATCAATACTATTATCATCAGTTTTATCACATTTGTCAAAATAATTCATGCTGATGTCGTAAAGGTTATTTGCATTTCCGTTATCAAAATAATCAGCATCATAGGTAAGAGACTGACATTCATTAATTCATAAATTGTCTGGGACTTTACTTTCATTTCTTCTCTTATCCAAGTATTATTGCGTTTTATAGTTGTCTTTGAAGGTATTTTTTTCCTCTTGCTCCTCTCTATCTCTCTCTCTCTCTTTTTCCTCTCTCTCTCTCTTTCTCTCTCTCTCTTTTTTTTCTCTTTCTCTCTCTCTCTCTCTCTCTCTCTCTCTCTCTCTCTCTCTCTCTCTCTCTCTCTCTCTCTCTCTCTCTCTCTCTCTCTCTCTCTCCATACTCTTACATAGACCCGCGTTTGCAAATAGAAACGTATACACAGACATCTACGTACGCAGTGACGTCAAGCATGGGATGGGGGGGGGGGGGGGGGGAATAACTGACCCTCCCCACTCCACCCCGACTCTGTTGGCCCCCCCCCCCCTCATAGTCGGGCTTATTCCCCCCTCCCTTAAAGACCACAATTTTTACTAAATTACGCCTCTATAGGTACAGTTATAGATTTAAAAACCTCTAGAATAGTACGTTTTTCTCAATATTTGTTCGCTTCGTTTGTACCCCTAAGAAAAAAGCTGAAATGACGCCCCTGTACAAACGTATGTATATGTGTGTGTGTGTGTGTGAAATATATGTATGTGTATATATAATATGTGTGTGTGCACGGTTATTTACCATTTCATTTCATATTATGTAATATGTCTCATTAAAGTATTTTTCTTTAATATATTATCATAATTTACTAACTAAATTTAATGAAAAGGTGATGACTGCCTCGGAAAACCAGTATCTTATAGTCTGGCAACTCTGTTTTCTTAAAGGGTTTACACGTTGCATTGTCTTTTGCTCGCCCGTAAATTTATTTCATTATCAAAATGATGACACTTTTCATTACGGGCCTTTTCTGTACCCCTTTGTTCAGTCTAAGATTTCACAATTAATGTGTGCGTGTGTGTGTTTGCATGGATGTGTGTGCATTTATTTGTATGAATAGTTGCGGTTGTATGTGTGTACGTGTTTGTTTACATGCGACAGTGCATATGTATGTGTAGGTGTAACTCGTATGTTTATGTGTGTGGATGTTTGTTTATAAGTATAAGTGTGGGTGTATATGTATGACTAATTATGCTCAGATGTGTTGTCTGAATGTATGCGTGTGAATGCGTTCGTGATCGTGGGTTAACGCGCATGTATGTATGCTGATACATGTGTATTTAAACGTGAATATGCGTGTAGGCTTGTGTGCTTGTGTGTGTGTGTGTGTGTGTGTGTGTGTGTGTGTGCTTGTGTGTGTGTGCAGGCGTGTATGTGTGTGTATGTATGTGTACATATATATATATATATATATATATATATATATATATATATATATATATATATATATATATATATATATGTATATATATATATATATATATATATATATATATATATATATATATATGTATATATATATATATATATATGTGTGTGTGTGTGTGTGTGTGTGTGTGTGTGTGTGTGTGTGTGTGTGTGTGTGTGTGTGCGTGTGTGATATAAGGTTGTTTATGCGTGTATGTGCGTATGACATGTGTGTTTGCCTGTGTGTATGTGTGGTGTAAATATATATATGCATGTATTTAAAAACCCTCACTGTACACGACTTCAGAGCGCATTAACATACCTGCTCCTCTTTCTTGTAACCTTCACCGTTCAGGTTTGAGAGAGAGAGGTGGGGGGGGAGGGGAGGAGGAAGAAAGAGATAGAGAAGGAGAGAAAGAGAAAGAGATAAAAGGAGAGAAAGAGAAAAAGAGAGAGAAAAAAGGGAGAGTAAGAGAAAGAGAGAGAGAAAAAAGGAGAGAAAGAGAAAGAGATAGAGAAAAAAGGAGAGAAAGAGAAAGAGAGAGAAAAAAAGAGAGAAAGAGAAAGAGAGAGAAAAAAAGGAGGGAAAGAGAGAAAATAAGGAGAGAAAGAGAGAGAGAGAGAAAAAAGGAGAGAAAGAGAGAGAAAAAAAAGGAGAGAAAAGAGAAAGAGAGAGAGAAAAAAAGGAGAGAAAGAGAGAGAGAGAAAAAGGAGAGAAAGAGGGAAAGGGGGGGGGGGTGGAGCTGGCTGGCTTGAAGACGGAATCTGCAACGTTGCAAAACACGAGGAAAATATACACGCTTTCATTTTTTTAAAGAAAGACACCCGCTTTGACGTTTGGGAAAGGTTATTAAAAAAACTTGTTTTTATTGTTATTGTTGTCGTTGCTGTTTTTATTATCATTATTATTACTACTGCTATTATTATTATTATTATTATTATTATTATTATTATTATTATTATTATTATCATTATCATCATCCTTATTATTATCCTTTTTGTTGTTATTATCATTATTATCATTATCATTATCAGCAATATCATTGTTATTACTATTGGCATTATTACTATTATTATTATTGTTGCTGTTGCCGTTATTATTATTTTTATTATTATTGTCATTATTATTATTATTATTATTATTATCATCATCATCACTGTTATTGTTGTTGTTTTCGTTGCTTTCGTTGTGGTTGCTCTGTTATTGGTATAAACATTATTATCACCATTATTGTCAGTGTTGTTGCTTTGCTTTTGCGGTAAGCATAATTATTGTTATTATAATTATTATTATTA